CATTCCCTTTTAGTGAATTTTCCTTATCTTTAGGACAGTGTTTAGTGTACCTGGAATGGGATTGGCACTCACTCTCTCTTCCTCCTTCCCTCCCCCGCTCCTGTGTGCATGAGTGTGACATATGAGCATATACACACATGTTTGGCTGTGTGTAGAGGTCCCAGGTTGAGGTCAGGTGTCCTCCTCGGTCACTCACCTTACTCTTAGACAGCTTTCTCACTGAACCTAGACTCACTGACTGACAAGACAGTCAGTAAGCTCCTGGCAAAGGTGAGCTAAGTGGGTAGGCTGAGCACACAGGATGGGACCTGTAACCATTCTGTCCATCTAGGACACCGAAGGGCCAGGTAGCTCTGATTCCGACCTCCAGTGTCTTGGGTCTGATATCTAGAGATGATGTCATGTCTGGATTTCTGCATGAGGGAAAGCTTTCTAGCTGTACTGAAAGTGGAGTGATATCATCTGTGCTTATCAACCACCATTGTGTGCCTTGTCAGAGGCCTGCAAACGTTGCCAGGGCTTCCATCCTGCAGACATGTTAGGGTGTTGGAGTATTGTGCTAGGGTAGCCAGGCGCCTAAAGCATCTTGCCTTTGAATCCTGGACTGTGCTTTACTAATGATGCTTCTCTCTTGAGTCTCTGGAAGCACTGACCCCCACATCACTGAGAGATGCCAGACCAGACCTGGCGCCTGTAACTTGGTAATGTAATGGGATATTGTATTGTTTTTTTTTTTTTAATTAACTTAACATAAACCTAGAATACCATTTAGAAGGAATCTCAATTGAGTATCCGCCTCCATCCAGTTGACTGGTGGGCATGTCTATGGGAGCATTTTCGTGATTGCCAGTCGATTTAGGAGGGCCTAGCCCACTGTGAAACACCTCCGGCTGTGTGGGCCTGGGCTGTGTAAGAGATGTAGCTGAGCAGTCCATGGCTAGCAATCCTCTGTACCTCTTGCTTCAAACTTTTGCCCTGACTTCCTGCCATGGCTTCCCTTTATGGTAGACTGTAACCTGTAAGATGGAACAAACCCTTTCCTCCTCAAGTTGCTTTTGGTCACATGTTCCTTGTAGCAACAAGAAGCAAATTAGGACAGGGATGTTTGCTTGTCCTGTCGGGGGACAGTTCTGATGACGGCAGGTTTGTTGGCAGAATCTAGATGTTGCTGCAGCACCCTTCCCATGCTGACTGTGAACCCTCTGGACAGTGGAGACGTTTTCGTCATCCTGCAGGAGATGGATGCCATCGCTGTCCCAGAGATGGTTGTGGGCTCATCATTCTTCTCTCCTGACTTGTGAGTGACCTCCTTCCACCCTGCCTCTGGCTGACTGGCCTTGCTGTCTGCTCTTCTGGCAGCCTCAGGGTTTCCTAGAAACCGCGTCCTCCTGTGCCCAGGGCCGGCTCATTACCTGCCTCCTTGACTCTAGCCATGTCTGGCTTCCAGTGGACTTGTCATGTGATAAATGAGTTTTCCTCCCTTTGAGCTAAGGGCTTAGGGGTGCTTTAGGTCCTCGGGGAATGTTTCTAGGAGCTGTGGCCTGGCTCCCCTGACTCTGTCCAGTGGGAGTGTCTGCTGCTGCCTGGCACAGGGACGGCTGTGGCTGCTTGTGCTGGCTTCCAAGACTGGATGTGATAAGAGTGTCGTGTGCATGGTAGAGCGAGGCCAGGCACCCCTTCCTGAAAGCCGTCCTTCCTGAGCTGTCCACCTGCTGATGGCACACAGGGCTCTCTCCATGCTGACTTCATTTTCAACCGCAAACTCTTTGAGGACACTTAGTCTAAGAGCAGTTTCTCCTTACTGCATTTAGATTTTTAACATAATTCATAAAAGGAGGCAAAGGGACTTAACACATTTTGTCATTATTCCTGATATATGGGTGACTAATTACTGGTGTGAAATATTGTTATGAACAAATCCTTTAAGTATCACCGATAAGAGGAAATTAGTGAATAGCTACCAGTGTCTGATAGAGGCTGGCTAGAAAGCCACTTGCCTTGTGGCTGTGCACTTAGTAAGTAAATGGGGTGGGGACACTTTCAGTAGCTTTTTCATGAGCGCTGGGCTCTGGCTTGCATACCAGGAGTTGTACATTCTGGTGACTTGGTCAGTGCCCCCAGGCATTGCTGTTGATTTGTGTGAAGGACTTGAGAAAGAAGCTTTTAGGTTGGATGTGGGTAATGTTTTATGATTAATAGGGTTTGAAGTTTTAAGATGTGTAAATTTAAATAAAGTGACAAAGTTACAAGTGGTGACCTGATATCTGTTGTTTGATCTCTGTAAGTCACAGGCTTGCGTTGGCATAAGCCGCTGTCTGACTGCCTTCAGGAACCAGCAGCTGACACCCCTGCTTTCCTAGGTGCTGTGGCAATTCTTCCTCTAGGTCTCGAGATGGGCTTGCAGCCCTCAGCCAGGCACTGGAGCCTACTGGATGGTCACTCCATGCTGTCCAGGCTTGCTGCTGTCTGAGATCACAGTCTGCAAACCCGCTTCCTGCTTGGAGACTGGGCATTTTGATGCACACTTGGTGCCTGTGGTTTGCTTCCTGTTGTATGAATATATCCACGAACTATATTCATTTTTCTTTAAGTAGATTTATTATCTGAAATATTCATTGGAACTGGCTAATCAGTACAGCTCTTGGAACAAATGTACTGAGTCCAGTTTGTCCTCATAAATCTATTAATGCTGACGAGCTACAGTTGTTGCCTGGGAAGCTTGGGTGATGTGAGGCTGGTGGGGGAGTAAGTGGGCTGCCGACGCTTTTCCGGACTTGGCTGTGGCCGAGGCAGGCCCTGCCCATGTGTATATTACCTCCCCAACACATGCATGCAAGTAAATACCCCCACCTTCCCACATACACACATACATACATGCACACACATACTACACATACACCACACCACACAATGCTACACATACACGCACATCCCCCCACATACAATTGCAGACACAGATACACACATTCATACATTGCACACACACCACACCACACACATTCTACACAAACACCTCACCACACACATTCTACACACACATACAGTTGCACACATAGATACACACATCCTATACACACATTGCACATACACCACACCACACACATTCTACACAAACACCACACCACACACATTCTACACATACATGCACATCCCCACATACATATACACACACGCATACAAGTGCACACACACACATACATACACACCCACCCATACCCACCCATACACACTTTCTATACACACACTACACATACATGTGTGCATGCACACACACGCACGCCTGTTCCCTTGTTCCTTTTCCTCTCTGAATGTGGAGATGTCTGTTTCTTGAGAGCCTTCTTGTACTTTCAGCATCTTCTATAATTCCAGCCCCCAGTGGTGGTTTGGGGTGTAGTGAGGGTATGCTGGGAAAGCTGTCCCATGAGTGGTATCTTATCTGTGGGAAGAGATTTAGGGGACTGGACACAGGCTGGGGCAGGCTGTGAGGCTGACGGGTGAGAGCGGCTTAGCAGCCCCTGAGCAGGGAGCTGGTCCCCAGGGACCTTAGTGGCCACCACAAGGGTCAGTGTTGTCGTTCCTGTGCCACCCACAGAGAGACCGAGGCTCTTGCCCAAGTGTGGTTCCTTTAGGCTGCAAACTTGTGTCAATGACCTGGCGTGAATGTAGTCAGTGTTACACGGCAGGAAACACTCATGGCCAGTGAAGCCCCATGTGAAATGGGGTGCAGGAGGGGCCTGGAGTATTCTGGGAGGTGAGAAAGCTGGAGGGAAGGCTGAGAGAGGGAGTTCCATACTTGGGAAGAGCAAGGTGAGGTTTACAAGGACACGGTCATGAAGGGGCGGCTGACGGGCTGGGGTGAGGGTGATGGTTCAGTTTTGCTCAGTCGTGAGGGCAGGGGAGGAAGCTTAGAGCCGCTATTGCAGACCTTGCTGGGAGATTTGGACGTGAGAGAAGTGAGCTTTGGAGTTTTGAAGCTAAGAAGAGAGATACAGATCTGTGTATTTGGAGAATGACTGTGAGGTGCAACAGAGGACGTGATGAGGTTAACCATGCAGGGAAGCCACAGGGCAGGGCCAGAGGCTACCGAAGCTGTGGAAGAGAGATGTGATGTGGGATTAGTGTTCAGAAATAGCAAGAACTGGCCTAGCTGAGAGACCATAGAAAGAAAAAGCCAGAGGAATAGAATGGCCAGAATAGGAAAGAGCCCCTTGGAATAAAAATGTCAAGAAATCTTAGCAGTCAGAAATTGGGTTTTTTGCAGTTTTGAAACAGGGTCCTATTCTGTAGCACAGGCTGGAACCCACTGTGTAGCTCAGGCTGGCCTTGGATTTAGAGTAATCCTACCTCAGCCTATTGAGTGCTAAAACTATAGGCCTGAGCTACCATCCTGGCTAAATTAAGCTCAGTAGTGTTTCTGAAATTGAAAGAGACTGAGGACGCAAGTAAACATGAATCAAAAGGAATATCGTTTAGAGAAAAATAGACATTAGAATTCTAGAGCAAAAGCAGGACCTGCTGGAGAGGGAACCAATGATGCTAGGCTGGGCACAATGACCAAAGACTGCAAGCCCAAGAGTGTGACATGGGAAACCCGGGCAGAGCCTTGGGCAGGGGTGAAGGGAAATGGGCACGGAGCTCACCTGTTTGAGACTGTCTCAGGCAGTGCCCACACCTGACCTTTCTCCTGATGGACACTATCAACACAAAGGGTTTCTTGTCTTGAAGTTTGAAACTAGAAAACAACTCGGGAGTTGGACCCACTTTCTTCCTTCTTCCTGCTTGTTCACTGTCCTGTCCCCAACAGTGTCCCTGTCAGCATAGCCAGCCCTGTGCTACCTGGACTTCCCTCCTTATTGCCTTTCCCAACTTTCTTTGCCCTCAGATGATCCCCAACCCCCACCTCCTCCTTGGCTCCATTTTTGCTGCCTCCTGGGCTCAGGTGTGTGGTGTCTAGCACTCAGAAACTTGGCTAACTCTGGGGTTTCCTGCTCCCACTCCAGGTCATCTTCCATGACGTTGCTGTGCTGACAGACAAGCTCTTCCCCGTTGTGGAGGCCATGCAGAAGCACTTCAGTGCTGGCTCAGGGACCTACTACAGTGACTCCATCTTCTTCCTCTCTGTCGCCATGCACCAAATCATGCCCAAAGGTAACTCGGGGTGTCAGACTCTGTATGCACTTCTGCGCTCAGTATGACTGATGCCCTGTTTGTGAGGAAGGCAGGGGCTCAAGGGCTTCCTTAGAGCCAGGTGCAGCTTTATCCGCTTGCTAGATCTCCTAGTTCTGTGAATGACACATACGCCAAGACACTGCACCTGTCTACAGCTTATACAATCAGTCAAGTGGCAGAGCTAGAATTTGAAGTCATGTCTATATGATTTGGAGTGCTGCCTCTCCAGATAGCTTTCTGTCTCTTCAGGTGACCACATGAGAGCTCTCTGGGAATGCCTGGTACAGGTGAAGCATTCAAGATTGGGTGATGGACACTGCTTTGCCACCAGCTGTGTGCATGGCTTTGGCTAAGGCATTCTGTGTTGCTAGGTTTGTTTCCCCACCTGTGAAAGGAGGGGACTGACCCAGTTGGTGAGCTGTATCAGCCTGCCTTCTACAGATGCCAGGCCTATAGGGATGCTCCACCGTTGGAGTAGGCCTGGAGAGTTAGGAGACCTTCTGTCTCCATCCCACCTCTCTTGGCTGTGCCCCTACTCCACATCGAGACACTGCCCACCACTGCCACCATCTGCCATGCATTATCCCTATCTGATCACAGGGTTCTGTGACTAAACAAGTGTGCAACAGGCAGCTTGATGGGCCAGAAGTGCCTGGCAATCTGTGCCTGTGACAGGCTGTGACACCAGAGTCCATCAGATTGGGAGGAAGCATGCTGTTCCTGCTGAGTTCCACACCCTCCATCCACCATCAGGTCCCTGGCCTTGAGGTCAGTTTGTGTTTTAGGGTGCCCAGTGTGGTGCAAAATGGAACTCCTTTGATTTGCAGGGAAGGGAAGGTACCTGTTACCCCAGCTCCTCAGCTATGTGGGAAGCTGGGCAGTGAATCCCAAAGGGTCTGGGGATCTACTAGATGCTGCTAGTATCGTCTCCCCTAACTTTGCAAATGAAGACAGACAGAAGGCTTTCCTGTCCCATAGTCCTCTACTGAGGGGACCATGTCTACTGAAGAAAGCTGTGGTGGGGGCTTTGCTAGAAACCTGGTGTGGGGCATAAGGAGTTTCTTCAATGCCCCATGCCATCATCTCTGACGTGCATTGGTGCTGCCAGGAGCAGATGTGTCTCATTGCCATGAAAAACCCTATATTAACAAAATATTTTAAATGCCATATTCTGTAGGTCTTTGAAAGGTTTGAAGACCATCTGTCTATCTAAAATATATCTCTATATGATCTGGAAAGCCTACCTAACATATCTACAAATTTGATTGTTATAGATGACAAATGACTGACCTGTGTTTCTTGATTATCCTAAGTACTTCGTAATAATAACTTTCAAAAACTATAATTTACCTTATATTTTTAAATGAACTGCCTAGGTAAAATGTCTTAAACATATATATAATATACACATATACACATATACACATATATACATATATATATATATAATATGTTGGAACAAAAATAACCTTAAATTGGTATCAGCATACAAAAATCCTTTAAACAAGAGTAGAAACGTATATACAGAGTGTTGTAACAAAAATTGCCTAAATTTGTACCATTATACAAAAGTCCATACCAATACAAAATATTTGAGATTAATTGTTGCTTTTTAAAAGTAGATTCAATAATCTATCCTTTTGTCATTCCTATATTTCCCTAAATGATAACAAACATCCATAGCCCAGCAAATAACCAAAGAGCACTCATGCACCCCAGCCCTGGATTGTGGGTGCAGTCCTCTCCATACTGCTTCCTGCTGGCTGAGGGTGAAGTGTCCTCAGGGGTCCCCAAGAAAAATTTGAGATAATGACCAAGTCCTAGGAAGGAAGACTATTTATAAACTTTGTTGATAGATCTCACCTGTCAAGATTCAGGAGGTCTCCCCTGATCAAACCAGATCCATATCAACCTGAAGTGAGTCCATGGCCTCTTGTTTCCTGTAGAAACAAAAGCAAAACTGCTTCTCCAAAGCATTTTTTAATTTTCACTTGACAAATACATTTTTGACGTTTTTAAAGTTAAGGCACTCTCACAATACCCAGGCTGGATTATCCCAGCAGCTCTTTCAGTTCAGAGCTCTTGGAGCTGTGCTTTGCTTTTCAGCAATCAAAAAACTCAAAAGAAACACAATAGCATACAGGATTCAGACTCATGTGTATTTCCCACCTTATGTGTTTTTTTATTTTTATATTACTTTTAATGTCTTTTTAAACACTTTATTTTTTAAAACTTTTACTGCGTATGTTTTAGTCTTTGGGTTTTTTTTTTTTTTTTTTTTTTTTTTTTTTTTTTTTTNNNTTTTTTTGGTTTTCAAGACAGGGTTTCTTTGTAGCTTTGGAGCCTGTCCTGGAACTAGCTCTTGTAGACCAGGCTGGTCTTGAACTCACAGAGATCCGCCTGCCTCTGCCTCCCGAGTGCTGGGATTAAAGGCGTGCGCCATCACTACCCAGCTCTTTTAGTCTTTTTTGATCACACGAGCAAACTTGAGACTGTTAAGCTACACCTGGATTCTCTGTGCAGTTCTCTTGGCTGGCTCTGCCCACTTCTTGGTTCAGGAGAGCCAGGCCTAAAGCTTGCATCCTGGTTGGAGGTTTGTCTTACAGGAACTGCATTCCACCTTCCTAGAGCTCTAGAATGCTAATGCTTGCCTTGTGGCAGGCATTTTTTACTTCTTTGTTTTGTTTTTGGTTTTCAAGACAGGGTTTCTCTGTCTAACAATTCTAGCGGTCCTGGAACTAGCTCTTATAGACCAGTCTGGCCTTGAATTTACAGAGATCCGCTGCCTCTGCCTCCCAAGTGCTGGGATTAAAGACACTGGTCACCACCACCCGACTCATTTTTTGCTCCTACTTAAAGTACTGGCTGCTCAAGGTCTTGGCAGCAGGCAGAAACTCCTAAAGTACTGTATACCCCCCCCCACCCAGCTTTCACAGTCTTTAGATGACTGTCTGAGTCCTACATTGGGTGCCAAAATGTTGGTTTTTTTATTCTTTTGGGGGGCCCACCACACAGCTCCCCAAATAAATCACACACAGAGAATTATTCTTTTTTCTTTTTCTTTTTTTGTTTTTGTTTTTGTTTTTTTGAGACAGGGTTTCTCTGTAGCTTTGGAGTCTATCCTGGAACTAGCTTTTATAAACCAGGCTGGCCTTTAACTCACAGAGATCCGCCTGCCTCTGCCTCCCAAGTGCTGGGATTAAAGGGTTGTGCCACCACCACCTGCCTCAGAGGCTTATTTTTTTTTTATGAATGCCCAGCCTTAGCTTGGCTTGTTTCTTGCCAGCTTTTCTTAAATTATCCCATCTGTCTTTGTTCTTGGGGCTTTTACCTTTCTCTGTTCCTGTATACTTTTTCTTTCCTTCCTATTGTCTGGCTGTGTGTAGAAGGAGCTGCGGACTGCGTGTCTGCCGCCCCGGCTCCTGGTTAGCTTTACACCCGAAATAATTACATAGAAACTGTATTCTTTTAAACACTGCTTGGCCCATTAGCTCTAGCCCCTTATCGGCTAATTCTCACATCTTGATTAACCCATTTCTATTAGTGAGTGTAGCACCACAAGGTGGTGGCTTACAGGGAAGGATCTTAACCTGCGTCCATCTTAGAGAGGAGAGCTATAGCGTCTGCCTCATTGCCTTCTTCCCAGCATTCTGTTCTATCTACTCTGCCTACCTAATTTTCTGTCCTATCAAAGGGCCAAGGCAGTTTCTTTATTAACCAATGAAAGTAACACACACATAGACCCTCTTCCATCAGCTGTGTAGCTTGGTGGGTGAGTGGCTGGCTCCTGAAGTCCTCCTCCTTCCTTTCTCATTCCCAAACCCTTTTCTCCCAAATCTTTATACTCTTTGCCTGCCAGTCCTGCCTATTCTTGCTTGTGCCTTGCTCTTGGCACACATCTCTTTTTTATGCCATCAGGTGTTGTAGACAGGCACAGTAATACAGCTTCACACAGTTAAACAAATGCAACAGAAACAAAAGTCACACACCTGAAAATAATATTCCCTAACGTCCTCATGTTGTGTATAATTCCCCAAGTGGTTCTGTTAAATAGATGAGGCTTGCTTTACTTTAGTGTTTATTTTCCTGTCCTGGCTCAGTGCTAACTATTGGCTTTTTAATTTTGTAAATTAGACTATGGCAGATGGCCACATCTAGAAAGATTATCTCTCTTCTTAGGACTGCGTCCACATGACATCTTCCCAAGGGTGGAATTACTACAGCAAAGGTGATCTTTACAAAGCCAGGTGTGTCAGCCCCCAGTGTCCCCAGTGTGGGCTGCATGAGTAGGGTCTGTGCCATGTTCTGGACCCAGGGTGTCTAATTTTTTGTGGAGCTCAAGCCGCTGCGTAGACACTCCAGTCACTTGACAGGAAGAGGAACCTGCTGAGAGTTGGCAGAGCTGGGTCTCCCCTGCACTTTTACTTTTAATGTCCAGACCTGAGTTCTTCCTCATCTACCTGCATAGTCCTGTGCAGCTTCTAGATGCTGACCTCCACCCCTCTCTTCTGCTATAACCCTGCGGAGTGGCCTGGCTGGGAGAGGGGTGGGAAAGCAACTCCATGTACTGTTCCCTGGAAACAGTGTTATGAAAAGCACATCTGCAGAGAAACAGAAGGTTAGGTCAGGTGTGGCGTGCTGGCTTTGATTTTTCTCAGCCCTTGTTTTTCCTTTGCTTGCTCAAGGGGTCACATTCGGCTCGCTGGCCCGTCCTGCTGTTCACACTTGCTGTCCCTTACGGACCTGTGGCCACTCTGCTCCTCACTCATCCTCAGGGCTTTTCTCTCTCTGTCCACAGTGTTAGTTCTGTCACCATTGAAAGCATTCATGCAATAACAAATAAAGGCTGTGCCTAACTGGAGCTGCAGGGAGCAAAGAACAGCTCCTTGGGGCTCACTAGTGTCTCTATCCCACGTGACCCAGCTCTGGGGAGCTATCAGCTTGGCATAGTCACATGCCAGAGGAAGCAGCTCTTGGAG